GCCACATATATGAAGTTAGAACCATTAAAATTATCAAATTAATAAACGTTAACTTGAACGTACCTATCTTCATACAATTATTTTTGATTTCTCACGATCATAATCATTATTTATTAGGAATAGGAATTGGAATTCTCAATACACTAAGTTTTTCTTTAACCGTTCAAATCTAGTCTAAAAAGTTAATTCTGTTCTCAAATTTTGAAATCGTTAATTTTTCACAGGTATACATTCAAATAATTTATGAATTTAAAGTAGACTTATATTTTTATATTTCTTTTATATTTGTTTATTGTGTTTCAGCCATGGCCGCCACAGTTGAACCTATTCCTGATGTCGAGATGACAGATGTGTCAGATTCTCAAGAAAAAAAAGATGCAGCGGTGATCCAAGAAATAAGGGACAACATCCGACAGATTGAAAAAGCTGTTCAAACAAAAGAAGCACGTTTCATGTTGCGCGTTTTACGATCCTGGTCTGTAACGCGACGCAAGCTCAATGCGGTGGTGTTATGGTCTGTGATTAATGGTTTTTACACACACTCTGCCTCTGACAAAGAACTATTATTATCATATGTTACTACACCGGCTGACATTCCAGAAGCAATCAAGATGCGCACTGGTAAAAACTCAACAGGAGCTCTACTACCTGAAATTGATGGCTATATCCGTTTGTTAGTATTAGTGCAACTCATTGATAAAGTAGATTATAAAAAGGCAGTGGAATTCTCCGATTTACTGATGGTGAAATTAACTGATAAAAATAGACGCACACTGGATTTGATTACTGCTAAAGCATATTTCTATCATATGAGATGTTATGAATTAACAGATCAATTACATAAAATTAAAGGATTCCTTTACAGTCGTCTGAGAACAGCCACACTTAAAAAAGATTATGAAGGGCAAGCTGTGCTCATTAACTGCTTGTTGCGTAACTATTTACATTACAATCTGTACGATCAAGCTGATAAGTTAGTTCAAAAATCAGTATTTCCAGAACAAGCAAGTAATAATGAATGTGCTCGGTTTTTATACTACCAAGGTCGTATTAAGGCTGCCCGTCTTGAATATTCTGTAGCACACAAAAATTTAGTTCAGGCTTTGCGCAAAGCGCCACAAAATTCAGCAATTGGCTTCAGACAAACAGTACAGAAGTTAGCTGTCACAGTGGAATTATTATTGGGAGATATTCCCGAAAGGCATATATTCCGTCAAGCAAGTTTACGTAAAGCATTGTTACCATACTTCAGACTTACCCAGTCAGTCCGTTTAGGAGATTTGACAATGTTTAGTGAAACATTAGAGAACTTTAAGAAAAATTTTCTTAGTGACCACACTTATATGCTGATTGTACGTTTACGTCATAACGTTATTAAAACTGCCATTAGAGCTATTGGTGCGTCTTATTCACGCATTTCAGTTGACTACATTGCTGAAAAACTCGGGTTAGATTCTCCCAAAGATGCTGAATTTATTATTTCTAAAGCTATTAGAGATGGTGTTATACAAGCAACCATTGATCCTGAACATGGGTATGTGCAGAGTAAAGAACCCGTTGATATATACTGTACACTCGAACCACAGATGGCTTTCCATCAACGTATATCTTTCTGTTTGAATTTACACAACGAAAGTGTTAAGGCTATGCGTTATCCTCCTAAATCATATGGCAAGGATTTGGAATCTGCCGAGGAACGTCGCGAGCGTGAACAACAAGATTTGGAACTAGCCAAAGAGATGGCAGAAGAAGACGATGATGGATTCCCTTGAATTAAAATTTAGAACAATAATATTTGCTTTGATGATTGATTTTATTATCTTTTTTTTTTAATCTATATCTATATACATATTAAAATATATGAAGTAATTCTAACATTAAGGTCTCTTATAAATCATAATTTATATACAAATTAAAAGTATATTTATTTCAATATGTATGATTCAATAAAAGTTACACTAAATATACATATATCTGTTCACCATTTGGCGCGTTTAGACCAGTCTTTAGGATTCCAATGTAAACATTTTGGATCTATTCGAATCTTTCTTTTTTGAAACGATTCAATGTGTGAAGTAATTATATCTTTATTTATAGATATGATGTATTGTCCTTTGTAATAATTAATTAAATTGAGTATCTGTAAGGTTGAAACAACATCTTCTTTTTTAATACTAGTTAGTTCACAAATTTCACTAAAAAAAAATAAAAATATAATAATAAGCAAGAATGGTTAAATAAATAATAGAGTACTGATGAAATGTATTTAAGCATTATTTACTTGATTGTAATTTGTGGTTTTTCATTATCAGGCATTGGTTTCACAGTCAATAGAATGTCTAAAATAGTTTGACTCCAATAACTACGATAAGACAACAGACCTAAATCTGATAAAGGCTTTTCAGGTGTACCAGTTTTACCTTCAAATTTTGATAATTCATAACCTAAGTAAAAGCAAATTAATTAGGTACATGCCATTTAATTGAATTAATTAAAAAAATCAACATACTAAATTCAATTAATAATTTTCCGTAACCCTTTCTCTGATAAGGCGGTAATGTAAGAATGCAAGCAACATTATAATCTTCTGTAGATTCTTTTTCTTTGGAAAAGTAACCCACGATATGAAATCCTTTTAAGTCATACTCGGTCATTACGTAAAATAAAAATGGATCAGTGTCATAGTATAAAGTCTTGTGATCCAAAAACAGTTTTGCTAACAAACACAGATTTTGAGAATATGATTTATTTTTACGGCCATCAATCTCAAAAAATGATATTGATTCTTTTCTATATATTTCTGTACCAGGTGGATGTCTCAGGTTACATTTAATCTGTTAAACAAAAAATCTAACAGTTAACAAAAATTATAAGAAAAAATAAACAATACTTACACTGTGTCTATAAAGTGAAGTTCTACTTTTTTTGAATTTTAAACAAAATTCACAAATAAATATGCATCCCAAGTTCACCATTTCCTGTAAGTATAAAATAAATTTATAAAATATTATAAAATGTAATAATATATTATTTGTCATAGATTCTTGAGTAGAGTTATAAATGTAGGTATTACAATATTTTTATTTGAGTCTTTGAAAACAGTAAAAATAACAAGCAATCAAATAAAAATTTAATTTAGTTGATATTTAGATGACAAAAGTAGAAAATCTTAAGTTTTTTTTTTTAAATGGATGTCAACTGAATTTAAATTTAAATTTTGATTAAGAATTTATAATGGCATTTTTTTATACATAATAGTTTAAAAAATATCTTAGAAATTTATAGACTTAAGTTTAATTGTCTAAATTTTTAGTTTTTTTTTTATGATTTAAATTGAAAAATATCAACAATTGATTTTTTAATTACAAATATTAACATTTTTAAATAGTTTTATGGTTAAAAATTCTTAAAATATTTAAATTTTATACCAGTAATTTGAAAATTTGATTCAAGCTTCTTTACAAGGTTTCCCTTATTGGTAAAATATTGTAATATAATGTTGTATTTTTGACAAAAATGTAACCTACCATATTATATTTCAAACAGAAAAAAAAATTACCATTATTATGATTAAATAAATTATGAAATGTCATCAAAAATAAAGGCTGATACATAGAGCTCTATATCTAGAATTGTTTTTTTTAACAATAGTTAATCAAATTTCATACATTTTTCAGTAGTTATTATTGTGACCTACTCAATGACGAGGTACACTCAAAACCTATTATAATACCAAAGTGACTTCATCTAATTTTTTTTTTACCTGAGGATATGGAGAAAAATACCATGGACTTATTCTATTTAAACCAAGTTCAATCATTTCTACATTTTTCATTCGGGTAACAACATCGTCATGTTGCATTACCATTGAACCTGTCTGACGTGGTGTTGGTGTTGGTAAATCTTGAGAGTCCTGTTCAATACATGAATCATTTAAAAATTCAAACTAAACTAGACACAAATTTCAACACACTTCATTATCAACAATTTTTCTTTTTCTATTAATTTTCTTTTGTAAAGCAGCAGATAAAACGGTAGCATCATTGTTTTGTGTCACAGGTGGTAAACTCAAAGGAGAAGCTGGTCGACTCTGAGACAGTATAGAAACGTTTTCAACTTTTAACTTCGGTGTGCTAGCACCAGTACCAGATGTTCCAGTAGTCATACCATCTTTTCTGGGATATTGAACTTTACGTGTATCTAATCGTTCTTCTGTTACCCATTCATCTAACCTCTTATTATCTATAACAATAAATCCACAGTTTAAAAGGATTAAATAGTATATTACCTAATTATCTAAAATAAAATTTAACTTACAATCAATATAATGGACATAATAATACCGTGTCATTCCCACATCTTTGATACTTATTATTTCTGCTAGTGCTAAATAAAAAATAAAAAGAAACATTTTTAATATTTTAAATGACTAAATTTCACCAGTACTAATGTACTTACGCCAGTCGTCGCTACTATGCATTCTTACGGACAGACGACATCCTTCTGTTAACAAATTCTATAAAAAATAATTAGGTATATAAGTAAGAACTAAGTTTTTGTGAAATTAAATATAATATACTCACAACTGAATCGCATAGAAAATCGGGATCCTCTTTCATGATGACATATAATTTTGAAACAATTTCCGTTTAGTAAAATTATCGAAACAAGTAAGAGTTTATTTCGGAATTTATTGTTGACTTTAGGATAAAAAAAATGCCGTAACGCCAAAACGATAACGGTTATGATAGCAAATTATTAAAGAACCGCAAAAAGTTTGAGCATAAATAATATTATCAAGACATAAGTAAATATTATTATTATAGTGATTACGATTGATACCTGTATTGTGTATAATTGACGAAAATATTATAGAACCGAAACCATGGAATACTAAACAAAATTATGGATTATATACCCAGAAGACTATTGGGACTACCCACAAAATGTGAATAATATCAATTTAAATATTATCTCAGTCGAGTACTGATAAGTGATACCTGAAGTAAGCAGTAAACACTAAACACACGTGTTTTAGTTTTACTTTTACTGAATAGTAAATGACGAATGTTCGATTTGAACCGTTCTGTACGGATGTTTCTGTAATTCCGTTTGAACATGTGACTGTGCACTGTGTAGTAGACAGTGATTAGTATTTTTAAGGTATCGAACGTTTATGTTTTTTTTTTTATTAATTATTACTGTTTTTGAATAAATTATTGCATTTAGGAGGTAAAATAAAACATGGAAGACGATCCGTTTTTAACGCATTACACTTACGATTTATCTCCAGAGTTAATTACCTGTCTAAATGATAAACCTCCGCTTGAAGAGGAAGTCGTTTTAGAATGGCCCGAGTTGGGAAAACTAATATTCAAAAGACCAAAATTAACTTTAGTCGAAGACCGTCGTGTCAAGCCTTTGGAAGAAACTCGACCATTTGCCAAGCTGCCAGATATACCTGTAGCCGTTGACAATATTAAAAAATTGATTTTTCACAAACAACTTGCATCAAATATTAAAAATATCAATACATTTCAATTAGAATTGTTGTCAATAATTTCTAAGTATCATGATTTTAGTTACACTGAAAGAAATTTCGATAACGCAGAAGAATTGCGGTATTGTTACTGTATACATGCTATTAATCATGTACTTAAAAGTCGTGACATTGTTGTTGCAAATAACGATAAAAAAGATGGTGATGATGATGATGAGTTGCGAGATCAAGGTCTTACCAGACCCAAAGTATTAATTTTAGTTCCATTTAAAGATGCTGCATATAGGATTATAAATATGATGATATCCCTGATGTCTTCCAAAGAAAATTTCAATGTAGTGCACAAAAACAGATTTGTTGAAGAATTCACCGGTGGTGAATTGACATTACCAAAAAAAAATCCTAAGCCAGAAGACTTTGAAAAAACATTTGTTGGAAACATTGATGATGCTTTTAGAATTGGCATGGCAGTCACTAAAAGTAGTTTGAAACTATATGAAAATTTTTATAACTCTGACATAATAATAGCATCACCACTTGGTTTGCGTATGATTATTGGTGCTGAAGGAGAGTCCTCTAGAGATTATGATTTTCTATCATCTGTAGAAGTGTTGATATTTGATCAATCTGAAATATTTTTGATGCAAAATTGGGATCACGTGTTACATATCATGAATCATTTTCACCTACAGCCAAAGGAAGCACATGGTACAGATTTACAGCGAGTGCGTAACTGGTCAATTAACGGCTTGTCTAAATATTATCGACAAACAATGCTATTTTCGTCTTGTAAATTACCTAACTTGATGGCCATAATAAAGAATAGGTGTTTAAATTATGGTGGCTCGGTCAGCGTTGTAAATCCAATCTTAACTGGTACTATAAGCCATGTCGTTTGTAGTCTTAAACAATTTTATCATAAACTCAATTCAAAAACACCAACTGAATCCATTAAAGAAAGATTTGACTATTTCATAAATAAAGTTCTCACACAACTTCAAGCTTCAAATGAAAAACATGTGTTAATCTATGTTCCGTCTTATTTTGATTATGTGTGTATTAGAAATTATTTGAAAACGGAAGATTACAGTTTTGTACAAATTAGTGAGTATACCAAACCAGGCAAAGTAGCTAGAGCCAGGGATTTGTTTTATCATGGTGAATGTCAAATTCTGCTGTATTCTGAGCGTTTTCATTTTTATAACAGGACTAAAATTCGTGGTATTGAAAATATTATTTTTTATCAATTACCCACGATTGCTGGGTTCTACAGTGAACTTTGTAATTCAATCGTAGACAATGATAGTTATACTCGGAATATTACAGCACTCTACTCTCACTATGATGCATGCGTGTTAACATCAATAGTTGGAACTCAAAGAGCAAAATATATGTTGACTTCAGAGCAAAAAATACATATGTTCCACTCAGGAACATAATATTGTAGTTAAATTTATGTTTGTTTAAAATAATAATTTTTATAATAATTTTTAAATAAAGAAAAAAACTTGTTATATTATAAACGATTAGTTATTTACCTCATATTTCTGAAATAAAATAGACTGTTAAGATATAATATATAAGTTTAAAAAGTACTCAATGTGTATCATGAAAATGCATCAATTTTAATTGAGTATTCCTAACTAACAACTTTATTTACACAAAACAAAATATGATTATAGATTTATTCTTCTTCTTGTTCTTCAAGAGATTTGGTTATTTCTTCATATTTCTCAGCCCTGTAAGCCTTTTTCGCTTCTTCCAATAGCACATTGTGAATAAAATTTCTTTGATCGGATCGCTGAGGTAGAATTGCTGGAAACGGGTTACCTAAAAACAACAAATTTAATCATTGCACAATCATTGTATTTAAGCAAATAGTCATCTAAATAGTAAGCCAAACCTCTAAGTTCTAGAACTGAACGGGGATACACAATTTCTGGGTATGCTTTCGGCGCCCGGTATAACATAGTGTATGAAGTTTGATAATCATTAAACCGGGGAACCAATACTTTGAACAATTTGTGTATCAGTTGTTTTTCTTCTATCCAATAGTCAGCCATCTCCATAGTTGGTTTGTGTGTATCCCCATGCCTGATGGCTTCTGATATTAACTACATAAAATCATAAACGAAAACGTAAGTAAGCAAAAACCCCAAGCAAGTCATATTAAGTGTAAGTGTAATGGTTTAGTATCTAGACTCTAGACTTGTTGTTACAACGGTGAACAGTAGATAATAATTACTCACTCTTTCAGCATATCCTCTGGTTTCGTCAGCCAATGTATAATTCAATTCTAAACGTTCGTATTTGAACAGAGCGTTAACAGTTTTACGCAACTTATTTAGCCGGCCCTGTGGTCCTTCAGGACACTTTAGATTCTTATGTCGAGGATTGACGCGTATTCTGAGTTTGGACATTAACTGCGACACCTCCGCTTGATTCATCGTAAAACGGATCGATTGTCCACCGTCTCTCTAAAATATCCAAGCGAAATCGAGTAGGCTGAAATTATAATTTAACAACGAATTTAAGCCTTAAAAGATTGCCGCATCGCTATCGTTCGATGATAATATAATCACACTGTAGTATCACTCATAAGACACGGGCGTCCCATTTGTATAACCAAAAATAATATCGTGTATTGTGTAATATTATATTACAGTACTACACCGCATTCAATCAGTATTAGAAAAGACTTATGAAGTTAAGAGTAAAAATCTTCTAAAACCGTGCCGCATTCTATATTTTTATCTAAAAAATGATTTTTAACCTCTAAGTAATATTTATGAATTTTAATAAAAAAACTTGTAGCACAAAATTTATTTTCGAACAAATTTTTATGCACTCTTGTAGTCTTATTATAATTAGGTATGTTTTATTTACTTTAGCCTTTAGGTACTTTACAATTGTCGTCTGGCGTTAACAAATAAATAAAATTAATAAAATATGCATCAGTAAATTTTAACTCTTTGTTGTCCAAATTTAGAATTAAAATTATTTTTCCAATTCGCATGAAAACATAATAATTAACTTATTGATAAATAAGTATTAAGTGCACCGTTTTAATATGCATTTAATATAATAACACATTATATAGTGGACTGTTGGTATATATTATATTATTATGTCCTATTAAAAAGAAAATGTATTACTATTTTTATTATTTTTTTCAAATAAGTACCTAATACGTGTAAAATAATTTATTTTATTTTACTATAAAATACAATATCCAAAATATTTAAAGCATACAAGTGCATGTGCATTTTTAAGTCAATATATAATAAAGCTTATACTGGTTATAGGAAATAAAATCTAAAGTGAAACTTTGGCATGTGCATGTTACATTTATGTATTAGAGAACCTAGAGAAACCATTGATGTGTAAGAATTAATCAGCTCCCCGGAAGAAAAATCCTGGCTACGCCATTGTATTAACAAACATTTGATAACTATTTTTATATTTAATTCTAAAAAATGTATATTTATTAATATTAAAATATTATATATAATACCAAATATAAGTAGGCACGTTGTACGTATAAATATTAAATATTCAACTTAATAAGAAGATATGAAAACGGAATGACAACTGAAATAAAGATATAATGATATTTGGTATTTTGGTAATACTTTTCACCTTATAAAATTATGTAAAATTAAAAATAATACACGGAAATGTCCATCAATAACAAACAAAGATGCTTTCATCAACATACTTCAATAGTAAAAATAGACTTATTTAAATTTTTTTTTGTAAGTATACCGTAATTGTGGGTGAATAGAAACCGATTGGTGAATAGAAACAAAATTTCGAAATAAGTTTCATTGACCAATAACTACGGTCTAAGTATAACTCTTTTTATAAGTCGTTGATGTATTACATTGGTTATGTTATAAAGAATCGAATTCAATTGATACATTTTTACCTCCATAATAATTGTCGATAAGAAAATTGATAAGAGTAAAAATTATTTTACCTCCAAAAAAATGTGTATCAACTTTGTTATCATGGTTCTCATAAACGAATTGTGATAACTCCAATTTTTTTTTTTCACTTTTCAGCGTGGTTGTGGAGAATTAATTAACGTAAGTATCAATCCTGTTTAATGACTAGCTGATTTTTTATAATTTTTTTAATCAAAACATTTTGTTTTCCGGGTGAATAGAAACATGCCAAAAGTATATAAGCCAGATCCACGCGGCAAGCGTTATCAAAAACCTAACAAATCTGATTTAGCTAATGCTGTTGCTGCTGTCAAACTCAAGAAAATGTCCTACAGAGAAGCCGAGTCAGTTTACGGTATCAATCATTCAGTTATTTACAGACATGTTAAAAATCCGGAGATCAAAACACAAGGAGGCCAAACATCACTTTCTAAAGAAGAAGAGAATTTAATTGTATCAGGTATTTTGTTATGCGCTGAATGGGGTTATCCGTTTGGCAGATTCGATTGTTGTTTTGTAAGTTTATATAATTAAATTAGTTAATATAAGAAACTTAAAAAGACTATTAAATTCAAAGACTGAATTTATTATTTTATTTGTTAAATAAAAAAAATACTATTGTTAAAATAAAATATGTTTAAATTGTTGTTTATCATAAAATAAAGGCTATAAGTAAGTTATTTGAACGCTTTTTTTTTTTAAAAATTCAAAATTATGTTTCTATTCAACCTCAATACAGTTGAATAACAAATTCTATGAAAACTAAGCAGCTGTTTTTTTTCACCCACACCTGCGGGTGAATAGAAACAGCGTACTTAAAAAAAATTATAAAATCAAATTTTATAGTTGGATAACCGTTGAAAATTCTATCATGTAGTACACGGTGAGACCCAAATTTTTATGTAATTCACAACATTGTACATATTTTAGATCCAGAAATATAACACCTGAAAGGTGTAAACCTGTTTCTATTCACCCACAATTACGGTACCCAAGATTTAAAATACCCCATACTAGTAAACAGTAGCGTATCCAGGAGGGCACGGGGGGCCATGCCCCCCCCTCGTTGGCCTTATTTACTAGATTTTGTTTTAAAGATTTAAATTTATTTGTATGCATGAACGCATACTACAATAATACTCTTATACCAGCATTACATACACTTATAATTTTGTTGGGATTAACCCGTTTTTATTATTAAATTACTATTACTATTTATTATTATGTTGATATATAAATATATATTAACTTAATGACTCACTGAAAATATAAACAACAAATTATTTGCACTATAAACATTAAATATTTGGTTTATTTTATATTTTTTGTTTTTGGTAGTAGGTAGTATATTGTATATATGGTAAAATTTTAGACAGTGTGTGCCCCCCCCCCCCTAAAAAAAATCCTGGATACGCCACTGCTAGTAAATATGAAAGCCTAAGTTTGAAATTCAGACGGTAGGTATGTAGGTACTCATTTCCATCGTTAATTAAAAATTATATGATATGGTCAAAAATACGTTTTTCTAGTACCTACTTACTTAACTAGTCATACTTATAACTTAATTCATTTCTGTATTTTATATTTTTAAAATTAGCTCAGCTATGGCTCTCAATGCTCTCATATTAATCAACATTCAAATTTAAGGAATATATTATTTATTTTTAAATTAATTCAGCTCCAATAATCGAACAATTTAGGAGTTATCATCATAATACTCAGTAGGTATTCATTTCTCACAAATGTGTGAATTGCATATTATTGATACACTTAAGGCATTGGCTATTGAGTATACAGTTTAATCTCTAAAACCAATAATTTATAACATAATCATGACGATTATGAAAAAATCAGTTTCAGACATATATAAAACACTCAATTTTGATTTCATACTTTATATAATATACGATCATTAAATTATAAGTTTTTTTACCTTTAATATTAATTGTAAAATTTTTATTCTGTCCATTGCTAGTCATAAGTGTAATTAATAATTATTATAGTTTTTATATTTTGTTTGTCGTGTATCGACCGTAGGTACCGTATCCTTACATGCTTTGTGAAAAATATGTATTCGGATTTTAGGCAACAGCTATAATCTCTTCCTGGTTATAATACTACGTGTGTCTACTTTGCTTATAAGTTATTAGTTATGAGCAGATGACTATTAAGAAGGTCCGAACTACCATCGACGAGTTAGATAGGTACCGATTTAAATATTTATATTATTTATTTAATTATCTATATTATATTGTAGTATTGTTGGAAGTTGAGATAGATAATGGTTCTTAGATATAAACATAGATAGAGTGCGATACATACTTATTATATTTCCCCCCTTACACGTGTTACTCCTAAACCTTACAATACTAAGGCACTATAGTCTATAATACATCTATAGTTTTATTAATATTAGAATGAGAGAACTTCAATAATATGTTAATTTGTTGTTATTTTTTTATCAAAATGATAATGTCTGTAAACTGTGTAGCAATTAAATGAGCGATTACGATTTTGATCAAGTTTGTGTTTTATATTAATTTTGTTCTACAGTCTTGGTTATTGTTCTTTTATTTGTTAACATTTGATTTCTTCAATCAGTATTTAAATCGGAAAATATTCATCTAACTTTCCAACTACAACACTATCAATGATTATCTTAACCAAATGTTTGGTACTTATATTACTATAGGTACTGGAATATTGTATAACTTACCTAATAGCATTTAACATAATGAGAGCAGGTTCTATTAATTATAATCATTAAAAAAAATCACAATTTAGCATTGTTGCTGTGAATTAAACCTCTTAAGTTTGAATGATTAGATATTAAAATTACAAATACATTTTTTTTAAATTACATATTAATAAAATCCAATAAGTATTAAACATCAATATGGACACAATGTACTCAAATATTGACTTGGCTTTATTTCCAAATAAACAAAATAAAAGTATCGAGGACCGAGTAAATAAAAACTCCTCAAAAATTATTCTATCAAATTTTACAGATGAAACAATTACTAGTTTTAATAAATGTACATTAAAAAGAAATCAAAATATACAATTTCATAATACTAATAACAATTTTTGTAGTGTTATTAGTGCTCCTTTAATAATTAAAAAAAATACAATTAAAAGTAAAAGTAATTTAAATAATGATGATTATATTATCACAGATAATAAAACTGATATATGTAAAAACATTGAAAATAATGAAATTCATACTAAAACACACAACAAAAACGTTCACCTAAAAACAACAAATAAAAAGCAAAAAAACATATCATTTTCAAATGAAAAGCTATGGGAGATTAATAGAGTTAATCAAATTCTACATAATAAAATTACTAATGGAGTGAAACCTACTTATACGAGGATAAACCCTTCTATATCATTAGTTAAAGCCACATCAACAATTAATCGAGAGAGAAAAAATAAGGACATTGTTAAGGAGAATGAAGTAAGTTTAAAACATTTAGACTTTTGTTAAAAAAAGAATAATTTTGTTTAAAATCTCACAAATAATTTTTTGAGTTGATAATAGTTTTTTAGTCAATAGATATAAAGTGCCAACTATTTTACTATTTTTTTAAATTTTGATACTAGATCAGTATGTTGCTTATACCATTTTAGTTAGATTTTAGTAGATTGTTAATAATTATCAAAGAACACTGAACACACCCAAATTAAGTTTGATTGGTTGGTTATAATATGTACAAAATGGTAATCGGTAAAAAAAAAACAAACTAAAATGACCAAGGGAACAATATTATAAAGCAAAAAGAACAAAAATTAAGACATATGTATTTTGAAAACTCATTTCTATAAAAATACTGTAATATTCAATATCTTTTTATTTATTTATACTTTTTATTATGCTTTTATTTTAATAAAATAAAAAAACTTAAAACAGGTAGTGTCTCTAATGGGTAGCTTCCCAATAAATAAATTACAACATGTAATTTAAAATAAGTTTTTAAAACTGAAAATTTCTTTTATAAGCCTTTAAAAACTTTTTCTTACTTTTTTTCATTCTATACCTTTACCTTTATTTAATATGGTATTATATTTAAATTAATAAAATTTAGTCTTGCTATGTGTGATGTGTAATTCTTATCCCAGTGTTAATTTTCAATGAGTAGACATTTTTTATGAAAAAAAGTGGTGAATTAATAGACTGAAGAATACAATGTATAATATAGACTATAACTATAGTTAATAGCAAAAAAAATAATATTTTACTTGGAAATGTTACATGAAAACTTATACCCAATTTTGTCCTAAATATAAATCTGTATTAAATATCTAAGTCTAATACTATATAAATAAAAATCTTTAATAATTTAATATATTTTTGTTCTTTTTTTACTTGTTGGTTTTTTCTGTAATTTGTATTACAAATATATGATCCATTGGTTGATGAAGTATTTACTTTCTGTATTGTATTAGTTTGAATGATAAATGATATACTTAACTTACTTTTTGGTTAATTTATTTGAACAATATTATTTTTTATTTTTAAAATATAAAAATACTTATTTTTCCAGATTCTAGCCAAGAAGTTGTGGAATGTAAAATCAACTATCTTTAAGTAAATCAAAGTTTTTAATTCAATATTCTTGATTTTGTAAACAAGACTAAATTTATAATTTATTTTGTACGAGTTATTTTATGTGTGTATTGACAAATGTTGATTGATATTTTATTTTTTCTAATTTATATTTCAAAATAATATTGTAGCATACAAAGAATTTGTTCTAAATGTAATAAAAAGAAAAATATTTTCTTTAATAGATTCAATAAGATTTGACAATATAATGTAATTATATGATTTAAAATTATTAAACTCTGTTTTCATACATTTTTAATAATTTTATTTAGTTCCAATAATAATTATTGTTACGCACTGTAAATAATAGTTTTTTTAAAATATTAAATTTTATCCAATTATTTCAATGTTATTTAAAAGTAATTGAAAATTTAAATTAATATTTGATTAAATTACAAAATATCAATAATTTAAACACAGTTTCTCAGTATTTAATGAGTTGTTAAAATTGACATTTTCCTAATAGTCATTCCAGAGGAATAAAATTCAAAAGTTAAGAAGGTTATGATCAAATACAAAAGTATTTTTTGAAAAGTTGCATATGTTTATTCATATTTGAATATTTCTATTATCATTTATTTTAAAACTTGCTCCATATTCCACTAACTATATTTAATATATTTTGATATAGTCATTGAAACTCATGTTAAAGCATGCATGTAGTCAATGTAGCCAAACAAAGGCCTGTGCACTACATTTCAAAACAGCAGTATGGTTTCCTAAACTTATAAATAAAATATGCTAATTTTCTTCTCCAAAGCCATTAATACTATAATGTTTACATTTTATATATGACAGTATTTGACCAAATGGCTGTTGTCTATACGTCTTAGTCCTTAGATCATCGCATATTTGCGTTGTACGTGATCTAACTCTAAGAGGAATTGAAAGATTTTGGACAGTGGTACACTTAAGATAACTAATAGGTAATATGATTTTAATTAAAATTATATAATAATTTTGTGGACGCGTAAAGTCAAGCTTATCAAAAGCGAATGTAACGAGTAACGACGTTTATTAGTTAATATTGTTAATAGTTCAATTGAATAATAAAATAAAATAAAATAAACGAATAAAATACTAAAATTAAAAATTGGTTTATTATTAAATATGATCTGAACGATCCCATAGGGCATAGTTTCAAGTGTTTTCCGTCTTCTGTGATACGGTCGATCGACGATCAGGATATTGAAATTCTGTTTTGTCTTTGTATGATAAGCACGGCTATAGATAGCATATCTATAATATCTAATATCTATTGCCTGTGACAAAGACAGACAAAAAGACAAAATAGATACCTATACAATATACATAGTATTTATTAATATATATAATCTAAGATTGGTTTTAACAATAATAACGATTCGCAAATCACAAACATCCTTGTCATTAAGTCAGTTCGTCGCAGACAGCAGAACGCACTTGTGCAAATCTCCGCAGTTGTTGCCAAAAAACATCTAGACCTTTTACCTTAACATTAGTGCTGAATCAAGTACAGAGTTTTTTTAAAGTTTGAAATTTTGTCTGGACGAGTGCGCGAACGTGATAAAATTTTTTGTTATGCAATGTCTGTGTCTCTTTGTGTGCTGAGATTTGAATTGACTGAAAACGATACTCGACCAGTTGATGCGCAGCAGCAGCAGCAGAAAACATTTACCAATTGGGGTAGGTACATCTAGTGATGTATAATGTGGGCAATGATTGTGACGTTAGGTGGTTGTGTACAATATTCATTTTTGCACTGTTCATTCGACGAATCATGGGTCTTGCTAATAACATTATATCTATGTTATATTTGTTTTTAAACAATAAAGATACAAAGATTATGGCCAAATAATGGACACAATAATTATGTTAATGGAGATTGAATTAATACCTAGTGTTCAAATCTCTGAATAGCAATAAGTTTAAGCGTAAATATTTTGCATAGATTTATAGACGTTGTGTTATAGATAAACGAAAAATCATGTCTTGTCGTGGACAACGTAAATCCAGAGAACTAACAGTTGAGACATATGGTCGTGTTGACGGTACTGCGCCTGTTGAGCCATTAATTGAAGAAAATTCTAAAAAATTAGAATTTCTTAAAAAGCCAAATGTCAAAGTTATAAACTCTAAAGGATCAAAGAAGAAAAAGAAAAATAAACAAAATAATATTGAAAACCCATCAAATGCTGCAGAACAAATAAATTTTATTTCAGGAAATCCATTTGTTGAAGTTACCAAAGGTGTTCTACATGTTTATAAAGAAAAGTAAGAACCGACACATTAGTAATAGTCAATAGGAATATAAATTTTTTAAATTTTAAACCTAAAATTAAAAGTAGACTTAATAGAATTAAACACTGTTTTGTAAATAACTATTATCATTGTTAATTAGTATAGTATTTATAACCAACGGTTTTATATTTAGATTCAATTTTTGTTTTTTACAGCAAATTAACACCAGTTGACAATGCCAGTAATCGTAGTCAAATGATATGTATTTTGTCTATTCCTTCAAATATGAATTGCCATGATTTACTTACTTTCATAGCTGCCTGTCAAGAGAATATTCATCACATACGAATAATCCGGGATGCTGCATCTTTGAATCAATACATGACTCTTATTTCATTCAGAACACAAGTAAACTCAACTTATTACTTAATCATAAATTGCAATTCAAACCATGTTATTATAGGAAGCGACAATGGATTTCTTTCATTCATTCAATGGTATGCCTTTCAACTCATTGGAGCCAGACTGCTGTTGTAATTTGGTATTTGTATCCAAAGTTGAAGTGATAAAAGAAGACGAACCTGGTTGTAGTGCTCCTCCATCTCAGCATACTGAACTTCCTGTGTGTGCTGTTTGCTTAGAGCGTATGGATGAATCAGTGGATGGTATTTTAACAATATTATGTAATCATTCTTTCCATGGAAATTGCCTGACTAAATGGGGTGATACCAGGTAATTTAGCAATAACTCATTTTTGAATTTTTAAGTTAAAATCAATTGTACTTACCATTTTTTGCTTCAGTTGTCCAGTATGTCGATATGTTCAAACTCCTGAAACAATTCCAGACAACCAATGTCAGGAATGTCATTCTTCTGAGTCATTGTGGATATGTTTAATCTGTGGTTATGTTGGATGTGGCCGTTACGTACAAGGTCACGCTTATAAGTAATTATTAGCAATTTATAAGTAACTGTTAACTGATGTATTAATAAAATATATTTATAGTCATTATTTAGAAACATCACACTGTTATTCTATGAATTTGGGAAATAACCGTGTGTGGGATTATGTTGGTGATAATTTTGTTCATCGTTTGGTTCAAAACAAAGGAGATGGAAAATTAGTTGAAGGAAGATCCCCGGGAAAACTTGATGTATATTATATATTTAATTAATAATTAATCAAAACAATATAATATTAAAACTATTTAATTATTGTTGTAGGATACAGATCAAAAAATTGAATCTGTTCAACTTGAATTTACATACCTTTTAACTACTCAATTAGAATCGCAAAGGAAATATTTTGAAAATCAAATGAAACTATTTGAAGAAAATACATTTGTTGAAGTAAATATCTATGTGTAATTAAAATTTAAATTTAAAATTAGGTGTAAATAATAGAGTGATTTGAAAAACTACTTAAGAACTAACGTAAAGAGCTTTTTCATAAACTATTGTTAAGTATAGAAAATTACATTTTTTATTTACAAAATTGAAAAATCTAGTTTTATTGTACTGTGAAACTTTTAATTTATAGATAACTAATTTAAAAATATTTAGTATATTATTTTTACATGAATTTAAATTTAATTTAATTTTAAATTAAAAAAAAAAAAATATTTATTTGTTATCTTAACGACTAAATCTGTATTTAGAGTCCTTTATTAATTTGATTACTTTTTTTGATTTGACAGTTTTCTAATTATTATATTTATTACCAGTTTTACATAAATATTTTTAAATGTTATGATTTAATATTTGGCTAAAATAAAATGTCAGAGTAGGATTACCAACTTTAGAAATTTCCAAAGCTAGATAAAATGTTTAGGCTAACCATTTATTATTTTTTTTTGTTATCAATCACCTCTTTTAAATGTCTAAAATACAAATTATGAAACATAACTTAATAATAATTTAATGTTTATAGATACATAATATAAATTAACATACAATTTTTTTTTTTTTAAATATTTTAATATCTTATTATTTATTACTTTGTCAGTAAGCTATGTCGATTTTAAGTAAATTATAATTCTAACTACTGACTTATCATGTTATGCAATTACAATAATTTATGCATTTGTTTCTCAAGATCATATAGCATACTACTGATTTGAAATAATTTCTAATTTTGATTGATTTTTTTCTAACAATTGTTGAAATAAAGTAATTTTTTTTTAACTTGGATACAGTGTATTCTCGATTATCCGTGGAGTAGGGAAGCTTGGTACCCACGGTTAAGTAAATTCTGCGGGTAATCTATAAAATATAAATTAAAACCAAAATTTAATTATTACATATAATACGTATTATTAAAAAAATTAAATCATGTAATTTTAAATAGTATTTAAGAAAATTAAATTTTTTATTTTTATTTAAATTTCATAATAAAAATAAAAGATACACATGTACATATGATGAAAAATCATAAATTATTTATATGCAAAAAAATCAGTAACAAGTTGTTTTTTGTTTGAAAACACTCTTTTAAACTTGCGATTGAAGTTTCTTTTTGTATTAATTCCGGGGTAGATTACAGGTAATAGAAAGTACACTGTAGTATTTGATGTGCAACAGAAAGGTATAATAAGGCATTGTATTAGTATCCTTATGTCAGAAATGAAAACTGACAATACAATTTGACAAAAACTATTTTAATAAAATTTACTGAGTTGGATTAAATTAATTGCTAGATACTCTTATGTGTGAAATACCATAAAATAGACAATTAAAACTATTTGTTATATCTTATGGTTTAAATGTTTAATCCTTAATAGATAAATTTAAATACTTTAAATAGCCTGTTTTAATTAAATTTGTTATTTTATAATTTATTTAGATAAATAATGTAAAAGCTAAGGCTAAAGCTGCACTAGAAGACAATGAAAAATTACAGAAATTTATCAGCAGTGCTTCTAAAGATGGTAACATGCTAGAACAGAAAATTGAAGAAAATAAAAAGCTCTTAGAACGTGTTAACACTATATCAAAAGAAAAAAATCTTTTGGAGAAAAAGGTATTTTGATATTTTAATAAAGAAAAAATATATTTCTTAAACATAACTTATTGAGATTTAATAGCTATAAACATCATATTAAACGAATAAAAATAATAAATATTATGATTTAATAATAATTATTTATTATTATTGTTATTTAGGTACATCAGTTGACAGTCAAACTAGATCAAACAAAAACCAAGTTAGATGAAGAATGTCAAATAAACCTAGCATTACAGAAAAATCAAAATGAGTGGCATTTAAAGTTTTCAAATTTAGAAAAAGATTTTAGCAATTACAAAACTACTAAAGATCAAGTTAATATTTTGTGTTTAATTTACTATTTTTATGTTTAAAAATAAATATATTTTTAATTTAAAAGCTAATGTCGTGAATTAATAATAAACATATTATTTAAATTGTTTTTTTTTTTCAGGAAATTGGTGATTTGAAAGAGCAAGTACGTGATCTCATGTTTTTCTTAGAAGCTCAGAATACAATCGACAAAAGTGTAGATCGAGAAGACATTGTAAACGGTTCTGTGATAGTAGAGCAGCAAAGTGCATCAAGTCAAAACAAGACTCCAAAAAATAAAAAACACAGATAACAATAATAATAATGATGTCTTTTATATTTCACCTATCTATAATATTATATAATGTTGTCTAATAGTGTAATATTTTTTTTTTTTTTTTTTGTTTAAGGAAAATACTAATTTATGTTATTTAAATGGGATAATTGCTGACTGTTGTGAATTGTAGTTTGTACAGATAAAACATTAATATGATGTTCTCTGTTTTTATTTTTAAAATACAGCAGCTAAAATATTAAAACAATATGAGCATGCACATGCCGTGTGTATTATAATATAGGACTTTGTCGATAACCCCATTAATGATAAAATGTGTGCAATGAATTTTAATCGAGTAGGTAGATATAATATTATTCAAGTGCACCCAAGTGATATGTATTATAGTTTGTGATAATGTGATATTATTTTCAATTGTACTATATACGGTTTTGCGAACGCCACTGCACATGCATAGTCGAGTAATCGAGAGCGGTAGACTCAGTAGAGATTTTTTGATCCGAACGGAATTGGGAAATAGGGTCGTAGTGGTATGATAATTCAATAAAAAAAAAAAAAACGATTTTTTTGAAATTTAATCACTTCTAACTCGTACCGTAATCCTAACGCTAACTGTATCTACGCGGGGTCCATTTTTCGTGCAATAATTTCGATGATACGAATCATACGAAATACGTATTCAGTCTGAAACCGAACGAATCGTTATAGTATGGTGTGTAGTGTTACTGTATGAATAGCATGACGCATGGACACGCACACAACTGACATATTTTGACAATATCGATAAGCACAATCGACGCGACGACATATGCAATCCTAATGTCGTTCACGTGCGATGAACTATCGCAAATCGTGATTAATAATCGCCGTCCACCGATTGTTGTACTGTTTGCACAGGTCTACGGGAAACCAATACGTTGTAAAACGTGTATAATATTTTATAGATAATAATAATATAGTATACCTACCTGGTGTATGGATTCTTTAAAGAACGATTTTAAACGATTACGGCGACGTGAGTTCAATCCGATTTGGATTATCGCGTCCCTCGTGCTGTACAATATTAAGTAATACCTAATTAGTAATAAAATATTAATTACTATGGCTCGTGTCATGTGTATTGGACATAATAATCGAGCCTTAGACACCGACGATCGTCGAAAACCGTTTTTTTTTTTTTTAAACTTATTGTTATCGTTACCGTGTAACGGGGTACAATTTGAATAAATTATTGAGCAAGGCAAATAACGTTAAAAATAAAAAATACTCAGCGTTAAGTATTGAAAATATCAGTTGGGTACGAAGGGAAGGATTTAATAATTTACCGCTCTTATGCCAAATTAAATTCTCTGCCTCTATTCTAAATAAAAAAAAATAAAAATAATTTTAATATTACTACCTAAATATTCTTAAATAAATTTATTTTCTCAATAATATGCAATTATTTTTTATTCTAGTTGAGTTTAAAAATAAAACGTTCCGGATTCAAGAATAAAATCTGTTATTTATTTTGATAAAGTAAAAATGTATACAAGAACAACTATATAAAATTAATAATTTATGTGCACGTAGGTATACTTATTGACGAACGGACAGTTATCAACTATATAATGGGGATATCCTAAGTACGCCTCGATTTTAATTTTGCCTTTTTCATAGCCCGAGTGCATCTGCAATCATATTGACAAATTATATTGATAGATCGAGTGCGTCCTCGGTCCACAACTATAAATCCCATTTAAGATAAAATTATCAAATAAACCTTTCAAGATATAAATTTGAGTGATTTGACGATGATCGAATATATTGGTTCAAATATCTATACAACAATAATACTTTATTTTTAAAGCTACGGTTGTGGAAGATTGAAAACGATGGGAAAATTGCATTTCAACTTCTATAATGATTTATGAAAATAAATAAATAAAATTTGTCATAAATAAAAACAACACTTTTAAAAATAATTAGTACACTTTTCCTAATTTAAGGGTGTAAACTAAAATAAAATATATAATTATAAATAAGAATCAAAATATATTTTTGGGATAAACGCCAGTTCAATTCCTCGTAGTGCACCCTGAGTAACTGGGACGCATTAGAGCTATGTCAAAAATACGACCTTTTTTCTTGGAACGTACACGGAAAACTCCCAATATAATATTCAATTATAAACGAATACACTTTATAATCGAATTGTCAAACAGTTTATTACACCAAAACAAAATAGATGTTCAATACGATTTGGTCGCCCTATGCGACCGCACAGTTCACAGTGCCTTGAACTTGCCCCTGTGGGTACGAGATAAATGAAGACGTAGAAGACAATAGTGTTCATAATTTTATTATATGGCGCGATCGGTTCTATTATCATAGTCGTATTGATTATCTCGCCAATTATCTGAGTAAAGTTGGGCTTAGGATAGAGCGGTGGTGGTCACCTTTGCCCATTACGTGAAGTACGAAAATAAAATATATATAGTAGCCAAAGCAAGTTAAAGATTAATTTGTGAAGTTTGCATTTCCGATTGTGACGTCCGCTGAAGCTGAATCGTATCAACTATAAGTCAATAGTTTGATAATAGTTATTAAACTATTATCTGATAAAACACAGTTTTGTTAATATGTAAGTATATTTACTGTTGCAACACGCCCACACAGAACAATATTTATCTTATCTACATTTCAAAATAAATGTACGTTTTTACAGATATTGACTATTGAACCAATTAGCATCAAATTTTGCCCACATTATATTTTTTGTGTTACGGATGAGAGGGGGAGTGTATTATTATTTATTATATAATACGAGTATTTATGACTTCAATAATAAATATAAAAAATGTTAAAAAATTCGATGAGATTTAAACGGTTTTTTTGGTACCGTATTTAATAATACACTGAGTCATGACAAATAATATTAAAAAAAAAAATATATAAAAATATTATACAATTGAACATTTTTATATTCCAATAACCGACTAAAAATATGTACCTATTTATAATATATATTAACATAAATGAATCATGATAAATAATATACGTAATAGTTAAAATCATCCTCGACAAGTTTTGGTTTCAATTTAGTTGAAATTTAAAAAAAGTTTTGTAAAATTTTTAATATATTTTGTCATGACTTTCGACGTGTTTATAATATATATTATATATATTATATTTTTGCTTTGCAGTGGTATACTTAGGATTTTGTCTTTGGAGGAGAGAGGACCAGAGGAGATATGTATTTATATTTTATTCCAAGTCTCCTCCTCCAAAGTTACCTTAAAAAATGATATAATTTAATAATCGCATAATAAACACAAAATAAATTGAAAAAAACGTAAAATTTAACTCGTTTACCGAGAGGTTGAAGTTTATAAAATGACTTATAAAAATACACAAGCATATACATTATTTGTGAAATTTGGACAACATTACTTTCTTTTATTATTTATATACATAGGTAATCATAGTTATTAATTAGTAATATCTTTAATTAGAATCCAATTTTCTTATTGTTTTAGACTACCTACTTGCATCAATGACTTAATTTGGCATAATTTGAATATTCCAGTCAGTGAGATGTACAACCGTCCAAAGATAATATTCATCTATAGTATAAGTAGGTAGGTAGATAAATATAGTTTAAAAAAAAAAATTAATAAGTATATAATTGATAAGGCACTGTTGAAACCTTAAAAGAATCGTGTGCGTATTAAGAATATTATAGTGATACAGCGTCTGTCTAAGGCATGAACCGCAATAGAAGAACCAAATAGACGAATGCGAACACCACGAAACATATCCTGTCGATCACCTTGGCGAGTTTATGTCTCTCGTTTAAATCAGCGGTCTGTGCGATCATTTCTTCGGATTCGCAGAGCATATGGCAATCGGACGGCGAATCCTGCAATTAAACAAACGCATCGTCAATAATTATTATTTCGTTTATCCTGCCATCCTGCGGCGATATTAAATGTCTAAAATCGGCGGGGTCGTTGCTAGTACTCACGTTTATCTCGATACCCAAGTACACCAGGTAACCGGAATGAAGAAACCAAGTGATCCCGTGCGGCAGTGGTTTGTTCACTTTGGACATGCATCTTAGAGCCATGGATAACACTGCGGTGACGGTGATAAGTGCCAAACTGTAAGTGTAGTAAACAACTAAGGAAAAACAAAATATTTACATTTTTAATGACATTCGGCATAAGTGAAGAGCGTGTGCGAAGTGTTCAACATTTATTTCAGCAAAAATACTTTTAGGATTTACACACACCAATTTCTTACTTTCAGATACTGAGCAAAATGATGAACGTATTAAGTGTACATAAAGATGTTTATTATTTTGTGGTGTCAACTGTTAGTAAACAAAACTTTTTACACAAGAAAAAATGTTTATATCTTCTTGAGGTTGATTTTTGACAGTATAATATTGTATCCAGTTTGATTGTTTACAGTCAAAAATAAAATATGTTCAATAGATACTTATCAAAATAATCGGTCAAAAATAAAATAGCGATCGGTAATAAAATAATCGGTAATGATTTCATATGATAATATATTACGTAGGTATAAAATATTTTAAGGTTTTTGGCAAAAAATAGTTTAAGCCAACGTATTGTTATTTACTAATGATAATAAAAATAAGTTTTAAAATATTTTTATAGAAATTGAGATGGACACATCGTCTCAGAATCGTTTTTCGTATGGGATAATTTATCATTGAACTCATATTTAACACATAAATTTTAGCTATCAAGAAAATGATTCAATGAATCGAAATCTACCATACAGCTAAGTGTCTTCCCAGTTTTTTTTTATTTTGAAACGTTGATGTGTACAAATCGAAGTCTAAATCAGTAGTTTCTGTGTTATTATTAATTTAACTTTATATTTTTAGGATAATAGTTTTTAAAAATGGTTTTACATAGAATAGAAAACGTTTATGTATTGTAGTATTTTGACAAGTACCTACTAGTGTAATACTCAAACCATTTTTATTAATTAATTAATGATTAAAGATAAGTTCAAATAAGTATAATTTTCAAACCATTATAGTCCATATTTAAACCATTTATCATTAATTACGTTTATGATTATTTTATTATTCAGAAAACACTCGTTTGAATTTTGATTTATACATATTAATATTTTAATAAAAAAACACATATTAACAATTTACAGTAAAAATGAAAGTTCTCATTAAAAAATAATAATACCTAACATAACTACCTAATCGCACGGTAAGACAATAATCAGGCGGCGGACGATTTTGCGTTTGCAAATGTGGCTTCTGATTGGTTCTCCAAACTTCTGTTCATAGGTCTATAGCGCTATCCTAAATGTGATCAACATAATATACCATGCTGCAGCGATAGCTCTAGTTTTTGTAAACTCCTTACTCTCTGTCAAAATTTTACATTTTGTGTTTATTGTTTAAACGTTATTTTTTAATATAACTATAAATTATAAATAAAGATGACAGATGAGGGATTTATATCAATATTTTTCCACGAAAAAGTAAGTGAAAACTACTTTAATACTGATAAAAATTAAAAACTGAAAGATGTAGCAATGTATAAAAATTATTTAGTTTTGTAATTATTATTTTTATTTAACGTTAAATATAATGCTAGTAGTTATATAAAAAATATTGTATTTTTCAACGAACGTATTATGTAGGTAGGTATTATAATAATTTTACCAAAATCTTAACAAATTTCATTAAAATGTTCATTAATTCATAAATGTTAAAATGATAATTTTTACCAACTATGTAAAATAATTCTATGTTGTTCAAAATAAAACTAAAATAGGTAATCGTTTTTTTTCTTAGTCTAATTATTATTGGGATCTACAAAATATCGTAATAATACATCTGTATTTGGCTGTAATTAAAATAAAAAAATAAATATTAAGAATGTATATAAAATCATAAGAAAATAAATCTAGAGTACAAAAATTGTTTTTTATGCATTGCAATGCCGCACCGTTATCAAATCAGTTGACGCATTGAATTTTATTATATAGCGCGTTGCAGTGAGTTGTATTCACGTGACTGGCCATGGTTTTAACGTGCTCGGAGTTTTTTTTTATATTCATCAACATTTTTAATAAAATCATTTGCTTAATAATTTGCAATAAAAAGGGTTATTTTCGTGTTACAAAGAATATTGAATCTCTTCAAGACACTTTTTAAATGGTATAAAAATGTAAGTAAGTATTTAAAAATCATGTCAACATGGTCTCAAGTTATCTTCTTAGAATATTTACAAAAAAAAAATAATTGAATAAATATGTAATACAAAGAAAAAATTAGGATGAACGGACGAACATGTTTAGTGAATCGCTCTATTTATGAATAATATACTGATATAATAATATAATATGCATATTAATCAATATTATTAGTCATTAGTCATTACGAATAATATAAATTTGTATTACGGTTTGTAATTATATTAGGTTTGAGTAATTTATTTTTATTTTTTTTATACATACCAACCAATGGAACAGTGGAAGTAACGATTGGCACTTTTGAGTACACGACCATAATGGCTAGAGTGACGAACAGCGCGTTGAACAGGTTCACAAATAACTTACAATGATTGTCGGTGTACGGGAGCCAAAATGTTAGTAAATTAAACGAAATACTGCCTGTAGAAAACAAAAATTGGCAAGGAAATGTTAATAACTATAGTTTACCCAAAAACGAATTGATAAAATCAACTGAGTATAACTTATATATACGATTGGATTTGTTATTTATAGTAAACTTCACGATTAGGTACATATATCGTTGCACATTTTCATGATCATAAGACGTACAGTAAAGTAACCGTGAAGCATTTTTATTATTTTTAATAGATTTTGCTCATTGCGCTACTCGCGAATAATATAAAATGCTATTACATGGATAGGTCTATTTTAAAACTGGTAATTTAAATGAGTTAGACAGTTACTTAAGTATTATAATACAGGGCCAAATATAAAACTCCTATTTGAATAACTTTTTTATCTGAAAATAAAAGATAGTGTTAATATCCTATAGTGATCTTTTTACTTGATGTGATAAAGTTTGAAATATCTCAAAAGTTCAATTTTTAATGGAAAAAATATAACTTTTTATTCAAAATTGGGTAAGTTTTTTTTTTAATTCGATTAAAAAGTTTGGAAAAGTTGATAAGAAAAAAATAAAAGTCAGTTTTATATTTAGTTAACGTTTAGTTAAAAATTAATTCTCAAAGTTATTATTTTTATTGCTAAAAGTTTGTACTTTTATTTTTAAATTATTTTCTTTTAAATTTTTGGCTTTTGTGGTATTCATATACATTGTATAAATCACCTACTTCTATAGAAATTTACCAAACCTTAAATAAAAGGACTTATTTGTAAATACATAAGGGTAGCTTGAAATGTTGTTGCCTTAGAGTCTAAAGGAAGTGTAAGTTCCTTAAAACATAGATACTAAATTATTTTATATTATCTAGTCATGTTGGAAGTTAATATAAACAAAATATGTTATAATGAAAATAATGTATTATTCTACTATTTATAAATTTATTTAAAATAATAATAATATATACTTAAAAATGAACTTTTTGAGAGCTTTTTTTTTATTTAAAAAAAAAAAATAATTTCTCAGTTTCTTTTTTATACAAAACAAGTATTATGCCTCTTTCCTTCAAAATAAATTGAACGTTTCTGAGGGCCGGGTGTAGGGGATTAATAGTTTACTAATTTTGCATAAATTGGCTTCATGTTTACACTTAAATAACTCGCAAAGTTGCAACATTTAAATACATTTTTATTAAATAATATTAAAATAAACTGCAGGTATGATGATAAATCACTGAAATAAAGAAATTATGGTAATAATGTAATCATTAATCAATGACCTTAAACATTTATTGTGATCAAAATATTACATATTATATTTAAATGCATAAGTAGAGTAGAATAGTATGTACATCGTCCAATAAACGTACAGGTAAGATTAATCTATTGATAAAATGCGTTTATTTTAATTTGATTGATTAACATTATTATCCTGCTTAGTACATAATTAGTATTTCAAATTTTTAGTGTTATTAAAATATATTACTTTATACAACTCTAAAAAACAATAATATTATAGTATAATATAATAATCACATTAGAAATAGTAAAACCTTTAACCTACAGGTTAAATGTCTACACACATCTATAGACATACTTGTAGTAGTATGTAACATTGTAATAAGTATTTTTCGAGGGATACAGGAGGTTACTATATAGACTAATGATTAGATAGTTTTTAATATTATCTTGAGCACATGATTTATAAGTTGTCCAAACTCTATTTTTAAAAATAACTGATCTTATGTCATTTAATACTTTTGGTAAATAAGCACAGGCCATATACAACTATTCTCTCTGTGCTTATTTTTAATCGTATCGACATCTATGTATATATGCATACATATGTGCGTATTTATTATATATTACATAGCTACTAAAATCGTACAATTTTAATTGTTTAATGAGATTTAATATTATTTTTGCGAATGTGGAGTAAAAAAATAATAACAAATCAGCTAACAAGTGTAGAAAACATTGAAAAGCATTAAATTTATCCCACGTCAGTTATTATGTTAATATTATAAATGTAATTTATCATAATTAGCTTATATTATGTTAATTTATAAAATTATTATTTTATGCATAACATTTTCGAGGATAGCTTCGTGGTTTAAGCTCCCCCGAGCAAATTTCATACCCTAAGAAGTTTAGTTCGTCTACATAATAAAAATCACGAAGCTCTTCCCTTTTTCCTCCCCAAAAATAAATAAAATCACTTATCAACAATTTATGATAGAATTTATAATTCTCGTCACATTATATTTGATCATGCCATGTATATACATAGACTGATCGAAGAGATAAGTAATATTTAATAAACTTATTGTCTCCGATTGTCAATCAAAAACAAAAATTGGGGGTAAACTCACATAGTGCAGGGAAATAGATGACTGATTTATAGGAATGGACTTTCCGCCTGACGGTAATGTTGTACTCAACGTCGATATACTGTTCGTCTGGACAGCAAGGATAGTACCTGGCGTGCCTCTCCTTAGAAACGTTAAGGATGTCCCATTCAGTGTGCGCGCTGGCTGACACTTCCACCTAGAACATATTGTATGATGGTACCGTGACGAAGATTGAATCTCATTAGGAGCTTATACATATTATAAACGTACTTATATGTATTATATAATCCTAAAACGTGTAATTAATGTAAAATGTAATACAGGGACGTCCGGAAAATTTTTGAAAGCAAGTTATATGCAATACACTAAAATTGTACCTTCCACCTTATTTTGACTTAATTCGAATATAAAAATTAGATATCTAGGTATGTATAATTTAAAGTAATTTATATTTATATTTTAATCAATAAGCTGTTTATTTTTACGATTTTCTTTGTCATATTAGAATAATAATATTATTAGAAACCGATATAGGTACCCATAATTTTTGCACCATGCACATGCAATAAACACTATTAAGTGGTCGTACAAGCTGGTATATATTATAGTTAAGCTCCGTTCTAATTCAATAATATAGAATCGAGGTTTTTTCATTTGTCCTACAATTGCAGTGTCGATTCTTCGTCATGCTGGAAACGCAGTTGAGAGCAGTCTAAAATCCGTAGTAATGAGAATACGGAAAAAAATGATTTTTCAGAATTAGGAAAAATTTCTCCCTCTCATTATCTCTTATTCGTAGAGGATACAAATGCATTCTGGACAACGCTGCAGATGTGCAATACATGTAGGTCGGAATAAAGTTAAACGGAGATCACCAACCCCTTCATCACCGTCGATGGTTAGGTTCAGTTCTCTGCCCAAGTACAACCACGACCCGAGTTTTAAGACTCCAGTCTGTGTGTCGTGAGGCCAGTTCGTCGTGTCTGTTTTACAGTGTATAGTGTACTGTACCGGTTCAATCCATATCACTCCACCGTTTCGGTTTACCACGCTATTAACGTGCGTCCGATCATCTTCCATGTTTGCGTCGACGCTGAAAATTTAGCGATATTTGTTGGTTTTTTTTTTAAACATTATGTTTTGAACAACAGAAGTAATTTTCTAATATACCTACTTGTTGAATGCCATGACGTCCGGGTGCCAGATTTCACGGTGGTCGACTATTATGGAATTTAAATATTCGTATTCATTCGAATTCCAAGCTAACCGATTATCGACCCAGTTCTACACAAATAATTATACATTATTTTTTGTCGAACCAATATTATATAATACGGGAGACTTTTCCCCAATTTTAACTCGATTGAAAAAGTTTCATATTATTATTGTCTTAATATTATATGTATTTGCTAGGCTGGGATATACAAAGTGTATATATGTATTATATAAAATACCAATATATATTTTATGAAGTGTATAAATAGTGTACATTAAAATATTAAATAAGATTTAAAATTGTAAATATTTAATAAAAACAAATTATGAGTTAAGTTTATTAGAACGAGTAAGTTAAATGATAAAATAAAATCATGTATATCAATCAAATATGTGTTGCAAAAAAGGTATAATTATTAAATAATTTAATAAATCATATAGATTGTTAAATGTTTATAGGTTTCATTTTTTCTCGTAAGTCAGAATTATCACTTTGATATAATATGCAAATAGGTACAAATGTACAATATTGAATAAGAATTAATTAATTTTTAACAAAGACGATAACACTATACTCGTAATAAGACTTAATTAATAACATTTCTCGTTAAAAAATAGTTTAATCTTATATTGGATATTATGATTTAGATATTTTTAATTAAAAAAAAACACTTACCGATATGAACCATGTGCTTAGTATCATTTGAGATTTTTCATAATTCTATAAGACATTAAATACGCGTGATTACTAATTATTGAAGGATTAAACACTTGATTTAATACGCAAAAATAAAAATATAATATTTACCAATTCTGCACTTTTTATCAATATTCTCATGTTCACTTCTAAAGCGGTATTATCCTTGGAGTCAGGTTTTACTACTTTGTCATAGTTTTTAAAAATTTGTTTTCTCAAAATATTTTCTACTGTTGAATTGTGATTAAATAACTGGATTGACTGGACTTGAAATTATAAATATAATTTTATTATATCTATCAATGTATCTTTTTATTTATAAAATTACGTCTGATCAAACAAATTAAATACATACTACCTACTAGTGGCGTATTTAGGTTTTTGTCACGGGTGGGGGAAATATGACTTTATAAATGAAGATACCAATGATAATATTGTACAATATATTATAATATTTTAATTTTTACAAATTTAATTAGTCATCGATAAAAAAAAAATATTTTATAAATAATATGATGACTATAATAATTATTTGTGTGTATACAGCCTATGGAGGGGAGATTTATTTCCTTGACGCCCTCCCCGTAAATACACCACTGCTACCTATTATTGATGAGGATAATAATAAAAATTCTAAATACCTAAATTATTTGTTTTAAATATTATATAATAATTATTATTAATTATTATAAAATATTTACCATCATTGGTAAAATACAAATTTTAAATTACTTTTTCATATCTAGTCATTTCAAATTGAATTGTTTCTAATTACCTTTTTAGAGTGATATTATTCTGTTTGTAATATTTGGTATAGTTTTATTAATATATACGTAAAAATAATTTTAAATATTAATAGATAATTATTATTTAGGTAATTGTGGAAATAGGGAGACTATATCAAATTTTAACTAATGAAAATATAAATATTTATAATTACCTTATCTTATTTTTTAATTACAAAATTACAAACAATATAAAAAAAAAAAAAAAATTGATAATTCTTTTAATTAATTTAATATTTTTTTTTATATCCTGTAATCTATAAAATTTACAAATTATCATATTGAACTATTTCAAAAGTAAAATATTGTAACAACATATTATTAGTTTATATAGGAGTCGAAGTCACTGTCTTCAATTTCCACGAAATTGATAAATGATTTTAAATTATTAGCGGAATTGATTTACATTGATAATATATTTATATTTTTAGGTTTTTAAATTGTATAAAATTGAAAATTTTGAGTACAATTATTATTTTTCTAGTATAGTCTATAAAACAAGTATAGATAATTTGGAAATATTTTAAATCACTATTTATCACTATTATCGTTATTTTTTTGTATTAATATAAATTTATACATAATACAGCCCAAGTAAGAATGCACATTGAGTAAATTTAAATAGTAAAAATTAATTTTTTGTAATATTTCTATTGGTTACGTGAAATAATTATGCTAAACAATGTATAATAACGTGTTCAAACTTCAAAGTTTTGTAGCTATAGGCACTATTTATTTAAAATTATAAGGATCGTATAACAAATATAACTTGCAGCTTTGAATTATCTTTTGATTTTAATTTTATGGACATTGCTTACTTGCGCCAAACGCCCACGAGTGTGTAACAGCTTGTATAGCTATAAATAAGAATAATCCAATATGACAAGTGTTTAACATTGTTAAAAATTAAAAAATCATTTGCAATAAGAATCTACCGAAGTAAAAACAATTCGAACGGTTTTGAATGGTGACACGTTGTGCATCTGCGGAATACTGGACAATTTAGTTATAAACGTCTGTAATTATATTCTGTCCACTTGAGTACAGGATACAACATATTATTCAATTGAATGTGATCAGTTTAACTAAGAACATTGTCCTTGAGATCATATAATGTTTTTTACTGAACGTCACTGACTGCATGTGAAGAAAAATCATATCTAACTCAGTACGTATATATTTATGATGGATAATTTTGGAAGTTTTATGATATTTAATAGTGCATTATAATAGGTTTTTAAAGCTAATTCCATTGTTGTACGAAATAGGTAAATAATTGAAGCTGACCGCAGCCGCACTAAAAGAAGTTTTTTATTATAAATGTATTGGCATATTATTATTGTTTTGATTTCGAGTCACATTGAAAAATTGAAATAAAATAATTATTCTATCACATTCGTTTGATTTTGATTTAACGAAGACATTACAACGGTACTTTGAACATTTTTGTAGAATAAAAGTATTGTGATGAAAAATTCAAATTATAAGTAGGTTTATATAAATAAAAAAATAAAATAAAAATGTTACTATCGAAAGATAGCAGAATATAACTTTAAACTAAGGAATTAGAAAAAAATTACTATTTTATTTAATAGTTCTGTAATATTTTATAATATAATACATGTCTTCACTGATTAAATTGGTCTTCTTATTAAATAAAGAATTTGTGATGCCTATAATGTTATTGTTTTTATTGTTTAAATTACTACTTGGTAATTTCTTAAGTGATATTCTTTCAATTGTATATGTTAGCGGTAATGTATGTAATACGTTATTTTATTAAATAACTAGTTATTCTATAAAATTCCTAAATATGTTCGTTAATATATAAATTACACGGTTTTACTAGTTAATATATAAAATACCGATTGGGTTTTCGTTAATGTATGAAATTTATATCATTAGGTAGATATGACCGGGACTGGATTAGATAACATACAAAATTTGTTACCGTTGTTGTTATTAATAAAAATAATAAGATAAGATAGTATTGAACCACACCATTTGGAATAGACTAGACTTATTCGTGTGACAGTGTACTGCGAGTTTACTTACTAGTTAGTTTAATCATTTTTAGTGTTGTATAGTGTAATAACTAATAAGTGTGCTTTAAAATGAAAACCAAATTTGATACAATTATAAAAAATACAACAACAGAACGTAATAACAGCACGTTTTTGCTGAAAGAAAAATATGATTCCTTAATAAGTGAAGTGAAACGTATTAAAACAGGAAAAAAAGAATCGCCACGTGATTATTGGTTAGTACAACGGTATGATGTGATAGAAGTGCAAGGTAATGAAAAACTTATACGTCCAATGAAAGAAAATTCTGATATTATATTTTACGTCCACGACGAAGAATTATTTGATATTTTACTTAACATTCACCTATCTATTGGACATGGTGGTAGAGACAGAATGATGTATGAACTCAAAAAAAAATATAAAAATATTACTCAATCAAACGTCAAAATTTTTTTAAATTTATGTGAATCATGTGTAAAAAAACAAAAAAGTGAAAAAAAAGGTATCGTGACAAATCCTATGATTTTTTCTGAATTAAATAGTAGATGTCAATTAGATCTTATTGATTATCAAAGTCAAGCTGATGGTGAATATAAATTTGTGTTGGTGTATCAAGATCATTTGACTAAATTTTGTATTATAAAACCATTAAAATCGAAAAGAGCTGAAGAAGTAGCATATTGTCTCATAGATATTTTTACGGTGTTCGGTGCTCCAAGTGTACTACAAAGTGACAACGGTCGTGAATTCAGAAACCAAACAATAGATTCATTAAAAGAAATGTGGCCTGAATTATCTATTATTCATGGCAAACCTCGCCACAGTCAGTCCCAAGGATCAGTGGAGAGGGCAAATCAAGATATAGAGAATATGATAATTACCTGGATGAAGGACAACAACACAACAAAATGGAGTGAAGGGCTAAGGTTTATTCAATTTATGAAAAATAAAGCTTTTCATAGGGGGATAGGACGAAGTCCTTATGAAGCTATGTTCGGATGTTCCCCAAAAGTAGGAATTTCTTCAAATACTCCAGACAATATTTTGAAAGTTTTGAATACAGACAAAAGTTTAAATAATAAAATTAACAAAGATTTAGAGAAAAATAACTGTAAAATATGCAAACATATATTTATGGAAAATGAAGGGAATACCGAGGAAGAATTGTGTCAACTTTGCATAAATAAAGAAAATATTTCCAATAAAAGAGAAGAAGCAAAAAAATGCTTAGAACGTCAAGCTAAAAGAATGAAACTACAATCAGATATGTCTCATCCACCTGCTCTTCAAGGATGTAACGTACGAATCAAAATTCCAGATGTTGACAGGTCAAAATGTGATCCACAATCTATAATTGCAATTGTATTAGAAAAAACAACCGACGGATTTTATCGCTTAGGTAATTTTTTTTTAATTTTTTTATTAATAATTCAAATAATTTTGTTTTAGGAACTAAATACGGTATACTAAAACAACATTACGCGAGGTCACAATTTAGTTTATGCACAGAAAAGTTTATTACGCTTAGTGACGTTCCAGATGTAGATATTTGCCTTCGAAAAGCATCCGAATCCCAATCACTTGGTAATGGACAAGGGTTTTTTAAATGTACATGCCAACAAAAGTGCACCACAAAACGGTGCATATGTTTAAAAAATAATTTACTTTGTAATTCTAAATGCCACCCAAAAAGTTCCTGTACTAATAAATAAATTGTAAATTTAAAAAAAAAATTAATATTAATATTTTATATAATAATAAAACTTTTATTCAATAATAGTTTTCAATACATTAACTAAACCATTATTGTTAGTTTATAAAATATCTAGTTGGTATGTAGAATAACTAGTTGAAGTATATATTTATGGATTCATTCAATACATTAACTGAAAGTACCCGTAATTCTATAAAATAACTAGTTATTCTATAGAATTACGGAATTTCATACATTAACGCTAACATATACATACTATTTTTGGCGTCGAATTTTATTTTGATATTAATAAATTAGTTGATTATAATTTGGAAGACATCTTAATAATAGACATACACTGATTGTGTAATTAACTATCTAGTTTATAGTCTTTGTGTATGGCCATATTATTATATAATTCGTTATGGCCGTTAACATTTTTACACATATTAATGAGCATCTAGACTGTTATCTAATTAGTTTAGAATAATATCAGATATATATATATATATATATATATATATTTATGATATCGTAACATTTCAAAAATGTTATTAGTAAGATTTTTCATTTTTGGGTTTGAAGTATAAGATTCTTGAACTTTTTAGATTAGTAAATACAAAACTAATTCCAAATCAGCAAAAGGTAGGAAGGAAACCACTAATATTATTATATATTTTGTATGACCGACCACATCATAGAAAAAAATCTACCATGTGCACACTCTATTCTTAAGGTAAGCCACACGCCATAAAAGCAAATGCCCAGCAGTAAATGTGATTATCTATAATCAAAAACTGGTGACTCTTCCGACTAATGAGTATTTGTTAAGGTTAATATGAATACAGTTATAAAAAAGGTCATTTTTGAATACAAATTCAGTAGAAGTTTTATGTATCCAAAATTTATGTTCTGAAAGTAAATGAGGTAAGACAAAATTAATGTCATAGGATTTCGAAATCATACAAATATGTGAATTTTTAAAAAAAGGCCGTGAAAGTTGTTTTTTTCTTGCCAAATGTTCGGAAATTCCAGTCTCTAACTCTTCATTGCGATGATCTTTTTAGACATGTACAAATTGGTCGGTTAATAATTAGTAAAAAAATTGTTTGAAAATTTTTAATCAAGATCTTAAAACTAATAACAACATTGCTAATACTTTTAAGCGAACCATAAAGTAATTAAAAATAGAAAACCAAAAGCCAATTAGTAGATAAGATCTGTGGTATTACCTTACAAAGCTCTCGCAGATATTCATTCAGTAGCAACAGAGCTTCTGTTAATGTAAATTCAGCTGGTCAGCTAACTAATGGTGAATTTTTGGTGTAATACCTACGCAGTATACCGTTTGACAAAGATACCGCTCAACAACAGTTAGTCCGCGCTGTTTAATTATTAAATGTTAGCTTAAATCCAATAATGACTCGCTTATTTAAGTTTGTTATCCATGTCTACAGAGTAAAATAATTTATTAATTTTTTCACCGTTTGTCCTGTTTCTATTATTATACATATATTATATAAATCTGTTGGAGTGTATAAAAATTGTGCCTGCACTACATCTACGTTTGGTATCTATGTGAGATAAAAGTATTCCAAGTATAAACAATAAACATAAATTAAAATTAGAAGCATTTAAAAAGAAAATAATATAAACAATAACAAATGTAAAAATTTAACGTTGATGATAATATTTTTACACATAAAAATGTACTATAAATATGATGCAATTTGTGAAGTTAGTAAGTACGAAATATTTATTTATTTTTTGGTTTTATACTACAAACGTGGTTATCAACGACCACACAGAGTTAATAATTCACGGGGTAGCGCATCGTTATAGGTACCTACATGCTATTTAAACTGGTACGTGACTCTTAATCTGAGGCTAGTGGGCTTAAGCCCTATTGGCACCCTGTCAGTTTAGTTTATATAGCGTAATTTATAAAATTTTAGATAGATAAGTAGGTAATACAAAAATTTTGGTAATATCATGGTAATTGTCACGTGTTATTTAGTATACAAGCAATAATAATGTTAAATAAAGATTAGTTGAAACATTGGTTTTATTTATTTATTTTAAAATTAGAAGACGTTTCTTGTTAAATTATATTATTATTTATTATTGCATATTTTATTGTTTTTTTATTGAATATCAATACAGAAAGAGATAAATCATAGATATAGTGATGACTATATTGGATAAATATATTGGAAATATTATATATGTTTTGAATACTTTAACACCTATATAAGCGACGATATATGTTGGTATATTAAAGTTTAATGTTATTATATACTTGTAATATAGAATTATTTCTGATAAATAGATTAAATAATAATGCTTTATTCAAAAGTATTTTAAACGATGTTTTGAATTTTTTATTAGCTGTTCTTATGTATATTGTGATTATTTATATAATATGTTGTTGTTATTCATTTTATTTTTAGATTATTAATATGTACCTTGTTTTATATTATTTTCTCTAACACATTAAATAATATAAATCCTCTGAAATGATTAAATTGCGTATTAAAATTAGTTAATAGTCGTGTAAAATTATTTCGATTTGGGAGTCGATATTACTATTATTCTTGTAATTTTAGCTTTGTATTTTTATTTTATTCAGTTGCAATGTTGGTTATAGTTCTACTGAATAATTTTTATCTGATATATTTATTATTATACCTATTGAGTGCAATTATTTTTAGAAAAAAAATCTTTATAAGCTTTTTATATTCAAAAATATTTTAAAATGTGCGAATGAGGTTTGGAGAGTGTTATCAGTTTAAATTCTTGTAAAAACGGATTATCTTTAAATTTTTTTTTAAAATCCGGGTTATGAAATTTAATTCACTAAATACCGTAATGGAATAGATATATTTGGAAAGGGATAACTTAATAGTGATAGGTAATAGAATATTTATAACTCTATAGTCAAAAAGGGAATTAAATGTATTATTTACTGTATATTGATTAAATATAGAAAAGTATTGAGGTTTATAAATAAAAATTATTTTGTGATTTTTATTAAAGATATTAATTAAACGTTTACATTATCATTGCCTTGTATAGCGTATACTAGTAAACAAGCAATATAAAATACGATTTATTCTTAAGTTCTATTGTTATTAGTTCATAGTTGATACAATCATAATATAATTTGATTTGAAAATATAATTATATTTTTTTTGAAAAAAATAATAAAGCAATACGTACATATATTATTTGAGGAAGTATTACGAGACTACTAGAACATTTGCAAGAGCATATACATTTTCAAACAAATATCTAGTAATGAGGCTAAATTTCAATAATTGAATGTGATCGTAATTTAATTACACTTTATAATTGTATAATATTTAAACGATAATAATTTTTATAATGGTATTAAAAAGCTTATGTTCATGTTGAAATGACTTTAAATAAAATTTAAAAATATCATTATTTACATCAATTAAAACACAAAGCGTGATAGGAGAATAACATAAATAACTGAAAATATAATAAAACATATTTTATCGATTATTTTAGCAAATGCCTGTTTTTTGTCAAACTCTATGTATTGTAAATCTATTTCTTTGCCTTCGTTTTGAGTTCGATTGTTCAACGACGGTTCCTGCAAACATTTAAAAAAATGTATTTGCATTAACATTACTTGAACAGTCATATTCTATAATAATGTACATTGAACAATATTATTATGAACAATGTCTTTGTAATAATTATCGACAACATTAATTTATGTTCACCTCCATTGTCAGGAATTCTATAAATTTGGATTGAACGATGCTTGAAATTGGTTTTGAAAGAGGTTTCCCTGTTATCGTCATATTTTTCATTATCACTGATATTATAGCCGTAGAAACTATCAATCCGAGATTGTACGTGTAGTATGTAGCTATAATCGTTAAAAAAATAGATTAGTTTTACTCACATAACAATCATAATTCCATTTTTTAAATTAATTGAAATCATGTTTTGTTCAAATGAGAATATTAGGTACCATTTACGATCGAAACGTGTTATGTGATATACGTACCAATTAATGGGACAGTGGATAATATCAAAGGTATTTTCGAGTATAGGATTTGTAGAATGACGACAACAATTAATGCGTTAAATAGACTCATTATCAATTTACTTCTGTCATCTAGCGAAAGCCAAAACACCAGTAAATTCAACAGAGCTGTACCTGTGTGTAAAAAAAAAAAATAATAATAGTAACGTAAATCATCAACAATTAGTATTGGTTAGGTTACTTAATAACGCATTATATTATATTCCTTAGTCATATTATTTGAGGTAATGAAAATTTAAGTCATGTACAATATGCCCGTTAATGTTATTGACTGCAGCGCATATCGAATATAGGGTTCGGTTAGGTTTGTTTATAATTTCTATACTTATTCAGTAACAATCGCAAATTATTATCGATATAATGAAGTTGATATCGACAATTTTTTTAAGAAAAAAATATACTTGCATAACGCCGGTATGAAAACAACCGAATGATAATGATTAGTTTTCCGATTGATGGTGATGTTGTATTCGATGTGGTTGTATGGTTCATTCGGGCAGCACGAATAGAATTTTGTCATTTTCTCACTAGAAACTTGTAGTATTTGCCATTCCGAATGAGGGCTAACGATTTCGATCTAAAAAATAACAAACCGTAATTTTTGTTTTGTTTTTGTGTGGAAGTCGCCGTGCGTTTAGGTTATTATCGTAAGAAATACCTCGTGTGTAGTGTCTGTCAGATTTATCACTTTTGCGCTGTGCACCCATGATCCGACTTTTAACACTCCAGTCTGCGTATCGAATGGCCAATGGGTCATGTCGGCTTGGCAGTGTATCTTGAACTTCACGGGCTGTACCCATAATACGTCTCCGGTGTTTTTCACGAGACTTAGTGGGTGTCTGTACTCTATGGCATTGTCGTCTATGCTGGAACGATGTTAATGAAAAAAACATGGTTTTATCCCAACACTGTGTAGATAAGTATTGATTATTGGGGGGTGATCTTATGATTTCATGCAAGTTTTTATATAACATATGGATAATAGCCATCAAAGTGGATTGGTTTGATAAATGTTTTTTAAGTATCTACATAGTTTTATATTTTTGATACAGTTTTTAAATGTCTAATAAAATTGTATGTAAATTACTGTGTCTTTCCATTGTTTATCGTTTTGTTATTGTAAAGTTATAGAACCAACAAGTGGGATGTTTGTACAAAATGTTAGAAAATTCAAAATGCTTATTTAAATATTGAATTTATAAAAAAAATTTCATTTAAAATATATTTTTTTTTATAAGAGATCATAATTTTATTTTATTTTTTAGAATTCATCACTAATAAAATTTATCCCTCACTTGAAATTACGCATGTACGTATTATGGTGCCCATTTAAGAAATTATTAGTGCTATAAAACCCAACACTTGGACATACTTGTTGTAGGCCATAATGTCTGGATGCCAAATTTCATGGTGTTCTATTGGTATGTAATTGATTTTATCGTAATCGCTCGGATTCCATATCAGTCGTTCGTCATTCCACGTCTGCGGAAGGATAGAGTGTATTACTTACACAAATATCAAGTATAAATCCGGTAAAAATAATATAATTTTGACTTTAGAGCAATGTGATTCATAAAATATTTTATCACAATTTATAATAATACTCCGTTATACATGAACGATATAGGAGCGTATACAAGATTTTCTCGAGGAGGGGAATATGAAATAAATTTTTAGTGCTTAAATATATCATATAATAAATAATAATCCCACAAAAATTGTGTATAATATTTTTAATGCTGGTGCCTGGTATCCTAGCCAAAAAATTCTTTCATCATTATATAAAATTGGGTATAGCTATTGCAACCTTTTAACTTCAATTACTTTGTGTAAGGAATTTTATAACGATAAATGAACATAAATAAATTATACTTTTATTAGTTATTACACGTCTTATTTATTTATAAAATACATTCTTCTTTTATATTTTTTATATTTTTGTTATTATTGTGTAATAAATATGTATATTTAATATATTTAATCAATGGTAATTTCATTCACATCTTATAGGATAACAAATTTATAAGTAACAACTACTTATATACTGTTATACTGGGTCTTAAAAAAAGGATAAGGGAAGAGATCTATCCCCATATCATTTTCCCCCTTATAAATAAGCCACTGAAACGATGTGGGTATTTACTTACTATTTTTAACCAGGCGTAAATTACCATATGAGACTTTTCGTAACTCTGTGAAATTTCAACCGAAAACATGACTGGTATTAATTAGGTGAAGTTTTACAAGTTTTAATTATATATACTAGAACGTGAACTTAACCAATTCCACGCTGTTGAATGCAGTGTTAATTTTCATATGAACGAGTTTCTTGTTTGTAGCCGGCACCACTACTTTGTCGTAATTTTTCAACAGTTGTTTTCTCAACTCGTATCCAGCTGTAATGTTTTCATCTGGTAGTCCTGAATTGTCTGTTGACATATTAGTGCATTAATTATTAAAATCGTACTACATAATGCCGTAATTTACGTAAGTATATTATGTGCAAAAAGTTTTTAAATATTATCATAATTTTGAAGTTGTGCTATGAATTAAAATAATAGTTTATTTGTTTATTACCTCGTACATCATACATATTAACATGTGTATTAAATTAAGAATAAGTTAGCGTGAGTATAGAAAAATTCAATTTTTGGTGAATATTACTGCAGAATAATTTCTAACTTACTCGCATAGTATGTTGTAGTCAATTTAAGACTTAGCTCCTTAAGTTATTATTCAATATTAACCGCTCTTCTAATGTTACACAGTTATCGGCGTTAATAAATTAAAAACAAAAAAAAATCACAAGCTTTTCATAAAAACATTTCTATTTGTTCAATAAATGTTTTAAATGTTATAAAAATACATAGTTTTCGATTGCGTTCAGGGATTGTACTGTTAAATTTCTTAAAAATATCTTAATCACGATACGCATGATAATAATTATTTACCAATATCATTATATTATTATAGATATTAATTAAAACACTTAATGATAATCTATTACGGCGAATTATTACTGTGCCGATTTTATCAAACAAAGGAAATAAATTACTTAATTTAAAATAAAAATAATTTCTACATAATATTATTATTTCACAGTAACATTTTCCCGGTAAATAAAGTATAATACTACGCCTTCGAAATCACGGATTCAAGGTAATAAGTGTGTTTTTTTATAGTAGGTATTGAAAACCTATATTATTTTCACCGAGTGTAGGTATGAGTGTTTGACACGTTGTTCCCGAATCTCAGCCACATAACCGAGTCAGAGGCGTATTTAAGATTTTGGTGCTCTTTTTTTCCCCTAAAAAAAATCATCGGGAGGGGGGGCTGATCAATTTTTACACATTGGTGGTTTACATAGAAAAAAAAAGGTCATCAGATAAAAAAAAAAAGCTTAGCTCAATAATATCTTATTTTTTCTTAATAATATTTTTCTAGTGTAGCGCCTCCTTTAAAATTTGGCGCCTGGGGACAATTGCCCCGGTTCACCCCACCTAAATACGCCCTTGCGCGTGGTGTATTTTTTTTAGGTTTCCGTTCGTTTATAACACAGTATAATAATATAATGACTTATTTGTTGATTTACTTGAGTCGTCGGCTGCACAGTACGCGGCTAAAGTTATCAGGATCAATCTCAACCGTAGATAGCCTATCATATCTGATAGCAATGCCAATACTGAAAACCGCAAAAGAAAATATTCGGTGGACCGTAGTCGACGATGTTGTGACTGCCAATGATCTCGAATATTGTAGCGTTCAATTTCATAAGTTTGTTATAAACGCGGTATACATAAATCTTAACAATTAAGTTCTTTAACAGGATATGATCATATTATATTATATTGTACTTAAATAAATAAAATGAGGGTTTAAATTAAATCCAATTATCGTAAAAGTTTGTGTACCCACTTGTCGATTTTATTAAATGTATAAATATGTGTATCATTGAGTCTGGTACCTAGTATATGATGCATCTGTTGTGAAAATGTAATATCTATCTCAGTGGAGTTAAACAATATATATCTTCTGTACTATGATAAATGACGTAGTATGTTTCATTTTTATTGTTCAACGATAAGTATATGTAGTAAATTTTGTATTTAACCTCATAATTTAGTACTCTTCAAAATTTTATCGGAAAATTCAAGTTGTATACATCATTTTGAGTCAAAAACCACGTGTACTACGTCGTCGTTAGTCAAATTAATAAATATGTTATTATAATCCAAACTCAGCATGATTTTCTAATTTTAATTACTAATCAATGCCTAGTTTAAGAGACTGAAGAGTCATTGAAAAAAAAAACCAGGCATAAAAATATATTATTGATATATATTTTTAGAAACATTTTTCACACCAAAAATAAACCACGATAACGAGTTAATGGAAATTAATGGCGAAATTTCGATAACTAAGCTAATAACAATTAGGTACCTTAAATAAAACAAAATATAAAATTAACTATGTGAGGCATGTATATGAATACATAAAACTCATAAAAGTGTAACTTAACCCCCACGCCTGGCTAAATGGTACACATTTAACATCGTCTTATATTTATTGCTATACTGCATTTGAATGTTCACTAGATTAATCCATTGGCCCCTAGTATATTTCAAGAAAATGTTAACAAAAAAAAAAAAAGAAAAGATTTTGAAGAATATATACATGATATTCCATTAAAATTTGTAATTGAAATATTTTATTTAATTACAATTAAACCAATTTATTTTTCATCATTCTAAGTATCTAAATGTCTTATTATCTCCTATAATACTTTGTCAGTGAATATAAGTAAGGTTCAACACCAGATTCTATCTATTACAACTAAACCATATACATTACTAGTGCATTTCACGCAAAAATATGTATTGTTAGAATATCGATAAAATCATGAATTTTAACGTTGTTGCAAACACATAGAAAAATATTTCATTTTTTTTTTCAATCGTTTGATATTCTTAAATATATTTGACATAGAAACAAACAAAATCGATAATTTGTACTTTATGTAGAAATATACATACAATAGTTATTAATGTAATAGACTATAATATAATCTTTTATTATTTTATGTTGCAACAATTTCTTAAGTATATATTAATATTTGATTGACGAATTAAATTAAAAGTTCGAGTAAAACGTTGTTGTTTATAAACGTTCCAAATTCCAATATAATTTAATCGTTTTGTTTTTGTAATAATTTCTTTATGCAGTCAATCGTTCTGTAACCTCGGCCAAATAAAATTGGACACTTCATTGTCGACAGTTACATCGCCTGAACCATAGAATGTAGATTTTATTATATATGACTGCTGCTCAATTTGCTTATAATAATATAATATTGTAACAATATTGTTATTTTTCGACCATGTTAAAGGACTTGTTATTTTGTTGAAGATAAATGTCAAATATATACTATTATGGCATTCATTTGAAAAAAAGCACAATGCCGCAATGCTTTATGTTCTGTTGCGACATTAGTAAAGTTAACATGTCAGTTGAGGGATTATACCTCGAACCTTGCGTCTCTCATGTTTATGGTTTGAAAACATTTTGGAGTGTTCTATACCGTAATGTTGGTTCATGGTTTTTAATATTCACAGTTAATATGTTTTACTGCGTAAACAACACGTGAATAATAACGTCCCGCAGTGGCATATTATCCAAGATTTTGCTTACGAGTAGATGGTGGTGGGAGGCTGATAACTTACTGTGTAAGGAAGGATTAGTTAGTATCCACTATAAGTTTGATATTCTGATTCAGGTATCTACAATTTTAGACTTTTGCAGTAACCTTTTAATTTTAATATACGATGTTTATGCCTTATGTAATACCTTCATTGTAACACTGAAAATATTTTTATATTTTCAAGAAATATTTAGAAAAAAGGAGCTGCAATTTTTTCAGTCACTTACGTACCCATTGAAGGTAAATGTTTAAAATGATGCTGTACTGTCACAAAAAGCGGAATTTAATGAACCGCGCATAGATTATTGCAGGTAATGAACAATACTATATTGTTTTTTCTTACACTTGTCGTGATACTCATTTAAGAGTCCATCCAGTTCAGTAGTGAAACTTTACGATAGGCCTACTTTATATACCTAACTAAAACAAATTATTATTTCACTAGATTATTGAGTCCTCGGCTATGTGGTTGACGAGTTTTTATACACATTTTGTGAACAATAGCTTTGTAAAACTTGTTGGTAAAACAGATAAACAATAGAAAATATAAATTTTTAATATTTTCAAATATCGTGATCTGTAAAAATATGAAAAATATATTTTCGTATAATATATGCACGATTAAATAATCATTTCATTATATTTATCATTAATCTTGAACTGATTAAAAAATATTTATTAATTTTTTGAAGTTACTTTCCAAACTTCTAAAAATGTTGATTAAAATAAAAAAATATTTTACGACTTAAGTGGCTAATTTATATTTAAAATTAAATAATAATGATTTAAAGATAGTTGATTTAACTACGTTACTTGAAAAGAATTTTTTTTCAAGCAGTTAAATTTAATACAGTAATACATCAAAATCATCTCTAAACTACATTTATTTTAATTATAAAATTAACTAATTAATTTATAAATGTTAGGAATCGAATAAAGTAAATTTATTTATTTATTTATAATACTTTGTTGTTTCTATTTGTTATAACCTCTTTTCCGCACATAAAACTAGAAAACTTAGCGTACGCTTTGTACTAAAATTTAAATATGATTTTTATAACATTTATCAAATATAAAATGGTTTTAATTAATAAAAAAATATATTTTGTATACTTAATTTAAATTTAAATTTATATAATAATAAAAAAAGAATATTATGAACTTGTTTTATTAATAGATTATTATAAAAAAATAAAAATAAAATAATAATGATATTTTTAAGCTGTCTGAAGTTCATTATGTTATTACTAAACATCATTATGATTTTTTTTTTTTTTTTGTATGTTTGCATTAGTAATTTTGAGCCTTTTCATTAACTTTTTGATCAATAAAAGTTTTAAATTTCAAGTTGGTTTTTACTATTTCTGGTAACAAATTTGATTTAGTTGATGCACATTTGGGGATTCAAAAAATTGGAATAATTACGCATTACCAGTTTTCATTATAATCGATTTAATTATTTTTAATTAGTCAGAAAGGTTGAATAATTAATAATAAGAGATTCTTCAAGCAATCTTACAATAATAATTGAAAAGTATGAAAGGCATCTATAGATATTTTAGGTATTTATGATTGAAATTATTCCTTTAAATATCTGAATTCAGCTAAATCGTGAGTGATAGGTAAAAATTAATATATTATACAAGAATTGATTATTCGAAGATTTGCTGTTTTAAAATTATAAAATAATCAATATATTTTGTGGAACATACTGTATTTATTTATTTATTTATTTTTGATTAGTGGCCATTACACATGAAGTATCGATTAATTTATTATTAGGTGTTTTTTTAATAATTTTATTAAATACTACAGTCTTTTAAAATACAGCAAGAATGTAGTCTATAGTATAATATACAATTAAAGTTATCATAAGTATGCAGTAAAATCATACATTTTTTTAAACTTTATTTTAAAGTTTTTGATTTATGATTAAGAAAATATTGTGTTTAATTTATTTTTAGTTTCTCCTTAGTTGATAGTTAGCCGTTTGTTACATAAACTCATTGTTTTTTTCTATGTTTATTAAATTTTGAATAATAATATTTATTTTAAGATAATTTTTAAATAAACTCGTGTTTAGTATAAACGGGTATTAAATTTTAATTATTAGGTATATACATCAGTGGTTCTCAACATTTTTTATATGACGACATCCCAATTTAGATCCTATAAATTATAGTAGCCTATAAATACAATATAAAAAAACTTTTTTTTGCTCATTAATTGTTTAAAAAACTTTTTGTCATTTAATATTAGTATTTCACGTGACACATTTGGACTTACTTTGTGACACACCAGTTGAGAACTACGGATATACATAGATAAGATTCGATAAACAATTTAACAATTTAATTTATATTTTAAATAAATGGATTTTAAGATGTATGTACTATTTATTATACATATAAAAAATATATTTAACGTATATAATTTCTAAAGCGGTGGATCAAAATTCTTTAGCCTAACTTTAACCCCCCTTGAATTCACACCAGAGCGGCGCTTTATTACTAATACGGTAAAGTAAAATCGTTTTTACAAATAAAATCATCACAGCGTAGATCACGTTGTGTAGTGGTTATTTGATCTTAGATATTCATGTGCAATTATAAAGTCAAATTTGTAATTTATAAGGGACGTATTTGGTTTTCAATGTAACTTATAATAATGTAACTTTAGTGATTTTTCTACAAACTATTGATACTGTAATATAAATTTAATACTACTATCACTAGCATTATTATGCGTTAAGTCAACTACGCGAAGATTAAACATAATATGCTAATGTTTGTTGATAAATCTATCATTTAGTATTTACATGAGGTTTAGGTTCAAAGGTATTGTATACGATTTTCGTTCTTTAGACATTTTGACCACCACATTAATTTATTTAATCGTTATAGTAGCTGTTATCTACTAGGAAAAAAAGATTTATTTTAAACAAAATACCATCTTATCATGCGGTCGCTAATCTAACTACTATTAAAATAAAAATAAAAATTATCAGCACTCAGTTGTGTCAAAACCGTTTTTTAAGCAACA